GATCCACAATGAAGGAAGTAAGCCAGATCATTCCACAGAGGTGCATGCTGGGGTGAGGATGAGGAGGATGGTAGAGCAGGTGCAGGTTCGGGCCCAGGCTGGGTGGGAAGGGCTGGGGTACGGCAAGAAGACAAGGCCAAGGCAGAGTGTGGTACGGTCCCTCCCCATATGTGGGATGGAACTTTTTACAGTGGTACGAGATTAGCCTCTATGTACCCATGCGTAGTTCTGATGTAACTCCAAAACATAAATCATACTCAACTAGACGGAAAATGTTAGTGTGTGCCATATAAGGGAGACAGAGATGCAAAAATTGTCTAATAGGGTACAACTATGCCAAGATCTGTACTCAGCCTTTGGATACTAATTCGCTGAGTCAGTGCCAACATGAATAAAGCTGCTTTCCGGATAAAGGCCACCATGTTCCACCTCTGTACATGAAAATTCCACAGCAAAAGGGGTGAGGCAGCTCCTTGAGGCCAGGTGGTCAGCAAGCTTTCTGTGATCGCTGCCTTACAAGAGAGACCTGAATGACAAGAAGCGGGTCTGTGAGTCAGCAGAAGGAACATTCCCAGCTGAGGGAACAACAGGTTCCCTGAATCTGGCCCAGGAAGAAGGCCGCCCGTCCCTGAGCATAACCAGGAAAGGGAACAGTGTGACCTCCGGGATCTGAGCGGCGGGCAGGGCTGGGATCACAGAGGATGGCGGTCTAGATTTCGTTCCAAATGTGCTGGGAAGACAGTGTTCTGGGTGCAACATGACCATGTTGGGTGTTTCGTGGAGAATGGATGTTAAGAGAAGATCTTGCAAGCTGGGCATAGTGGTGCACACCTTTAATACCAACACTAGGGAGGCTGAGGCAGGAGGATTGTCACGAAATGGAGGCCAGCCTGGACTGCACAGTGAGTTCAATGCCAGCTTGAACCACGTAGTGAGACCTTGTCTCAAAAAACCAGAGAGACAGAGAGAGAGAGAGAGAGAGCCTTGCAGCAGCGTGATGGAGAGATAATGTGGAACGGTATAGGGAGGAGTGAACATGTTCCGGATGCCTGTCAGTGGGTAGAGTCAGCAGGGCATGGATCGGATTGATTGGGCAAGAGAGAGTCCATGAGCACCTGAGGCCCAGTGGTTGAGCAAAGGAGGTATGGGGAAGGGGTGGAGGGGCATCAAGAGCTTAGTTCGGGAAAAGGCCAAGATGGGAGTCTTGTGGGGGGCAGTACTGGGAATTGAACCCAGGGCTTTCACACTAAGCTACATCCCCAGGCTTTTTCTCTTTGGTACCGGGGATTGAACTCAGGACCTTGCGCTTGCAAGGCAGGCAGTGGAACCACTGAGCTAAATCCCCAGCCCCTCCAGCCCTTTTATTTGATTAATTTTATTTCTTACATTTCTTTTCAGTTTTTATTTTTCCATTGGTACATGTTTGCAGTCTGTAATGCTTGCCTTCCTTGTGGGGAGTTGGTGCATGTGCATAACGCATCTTTTTTTTGGTACCGGGGATCGAGCTCAGGACCTTGCGCTTGTGAGGCAGGTGGCGGCACCACAGCTAAATCCCCGGCCTGTGCCTAACACACCTTAATTCCTTTTTCACCCTCTTTCACTCCCTTCCCTCTCTCTCCTTGCATCTCTTGACCCCCTTCCCATGTGAGAATGATCTGTCTCCCTGTTTCCTGTTATCTATCTTTTATTTTGCTCTCTATTTATACTCTTTATTTATTCTCATATAAAAGAAACCATGCAATTTCTTTATTTTTTATTTTTATTTTTTGGTTTTTTGAGACAGGGTCTCATTGTGTAGCTCTTGAACTCACTGTGTAGCCCAGATTGGCCTCAACCAAGTTGGCGATCCTCCTGCCTCAGCCTCCTGAGTGTTGAGATTATAGGCCTGTGCCACCATTCCTGGCTAACCGTGCGATATTTAAGCTTGTGTGTCTGATTTTTTTCACTTAATATTATGGTCTCAAGGAAAATACAGAACGCCTCACGAGTCTGCGTGACATCCTTGTGCAGGGGCCACACTAATCTCTGCATCGTTCCAATTTTAGTTATGCGCTGCTGAAGCAAGCTTTCTCTTTAAACTTTGAATCAGGGTCTTGTTAAGTTGTCAAGGCTGGGCTCAAACTTGCAAGCTTCCTGCCTCAGCCTCCTAGAGTAGTGGGATGTGCACCATGACACCTGTAAGACTCATAGTTTTGAAAGTCATCAGATGACAGTTAAAGCCACGGGGCCTGGGTGCGATTCCTGGGGAAGAGCGTCTAGGAAGAGTTAGGAGACCCAGGCTGAGCCCTGAAATGATGCAGCATTTAGAGGTCAGGAGATGAGGAGGAACCAGAGGGGACTCAAGACAGAGATGGTGAAGTAGAACCATAGTTCTGTGGCAGGGGAGCCGGCATCGCGGTGCCCGGCACTTATTAGAGATGAGGCCTGGCAGGGCCTGCGCCAGACCCCTTGCCTTAGGCGCCCTCAGGGCGAGGCCAGCACTCAGCTCAGCCTGACCATTGGATTTTGCAACATGGAGGTCATTCTTGGCCTGGACACAAATGATGTCATGGAGTGGGGTGGGTGGGGCAGATGGATGGGAACCAGCCGAGGAGCAAGAGGTGGCAACAGGGACTGAGGACTCACTGAGCAGTATGGGGGTAACACAGCAGGCTTGGGCTTTTCAAACCCTGCATAGGCCAAATGGAGCACAGGGCCTCGGCAGGTGTCTGGGAGGTGACCCCTGAGCCTTCGAACCTCATGCCTGACGACAGTGTCCTTGTATGCCTTGGGCCACCCCAGATGGCTCATGCCAGTCATCGATGGCAAATGAGTTTCTGCTTCCTGGAGGTCACTGTGTCCATTTGACAGTGGGACAGGGGCGAAAGACTGAGTATTTGAGACCTGTCGGGTGGGTGCTCTGTGGCTACAAAACAGACCCCATGCAGACCTTGGCCACCACAGCTCCAAGAGCCTCCTGGTGATGTTCTCCATCCTTGTGCCACACATCAATGCCGTGAGAAGGAAGCGATGTCCCTAGGACTCTAGGAGAGGGCAGCTGGAGCCTGCTCGTTCCTGGCCTCTCTGGTGCCTCCTTCCCCTTGGCAGATTTTTATCTGTATCCTTTTGGTGAAACAAACCATAACTGAGCTTATCAGCCCTTCTGAGTTCTGCAAGTCCTTCCAGTGAATCATCAAACCTGAGCATCCCACAGCTCATAACACAACTGGCTCTTAAGAGGTTTTGTGGAGAAAGGAGCAAAGACCGGGGGGATAAAGATGGGTATTGTCTGTCTCGCGGGAGGGATTATGAGGAAGAGACATGCAGGGAGTGAACCGTGTGCCTCTTGGAATGACGAAGACCAGGAGGAGTCGGTAACTCAGGAGGCATTGTCCAAGTAGAAGGGGGAGGGATTGTTCATTCAAGGTGACAGGGAAAGCCAGAAGTGTGGGGCAGTGAAGGTTCATAGGCAGACTTGATGAACTAGGACAGCCAGCATGGTGGTGCACCTTGTAATCCCAGCACTCTAGGGGGCTGAGGCAGGAGGATCACAAATTTGAGTCCAGTCTGGGCAACTTAGCAAACTCCTGTCTCAAAAAGGAGGAGGAGGAGGAGGAGGAGGAGGAGGAGGAGGAGGAGGAGGAGGAGGAGGGGTAGGGAAGAGGAGGAGGAGGGAGGAGGAGGGAGGAGGAGGGAGGAGGAGGGAGGAGGAGGGAGGAGGAGGAAGAAGAAGAAGAAAAGAAGAAGAAGAAAGAAGAAGTAGAAGAAGAAGTAGAAGAGAAAAGAGTGGAGATGTAGCTCAGTGCAAAGGTCCTGGAGGGTGCATGGAGAAAGAAAGATAAAAGAACTAGGAGGTAGGAGGGTCACCCTTGTGTTTGTAGGGCTGGGGGTGGGGGGCTGTAGATGACGACGGAAAGGACATGACATAGCATTTGGGGAACAAGGCTTCAAACAAAGCAAGTGTATTAAGCTTGCAGAGTGGGAAGAACCAACTGTCAAGCTCTCGGGGCATGAATTTCAAATGAGAGTCAGCTGCATCAGGACCTGGTGCTTTCACACCTGCGTTCAGCCTCGCAGGTGCTGGTGTGGTGCAGGTGGAGGCAGGATTTCCCCAGGGTTGGCTGTCGCCAGCTCCGTGGGACAGAGGAAGAGAAGTTATTGGCAAGTAAATCAGTGCAGCAGAGGATAAACAAGGCGTGCCTGCCCACCTCGCAGTGTTCAAGGTGAATCGCAGTGGGAAGTCATTAAAAACATTTTTATTTTAAAACAAATCTGGATTCATTCTGAAGTAGGACTAAAAAAGCACATGGATTTTCCAGGCACCTTCGCACACTTCAAGCACGGCTTTTCTGTTTGATGGGCTGCTTTCTGCTACCTCCTGGTCCTCCTGGGCTGAATTCACTCTTGATGGGAGCTTGGGAAAAGTCTGGGGAACTCTGTTCTGCTAGTGTGGCCCCTGCCCCCTGCCTGGGCCTCTAACTGTTCACAGAGGTCATCTGAGGACGAGGTTCAGCCAAGAACAGTGACAACATTGGGAAACTCTCTCCAAATTGGAGTCAACAGGGAGGCCCAGGAACTAGATGGAGCCCCTGCAGGCAGTGAGGTGGGGGCAGCAGACCCTGCTACTGGCTGGGGACGTTCAGTGTAGAGTCCAGGGAGGTCGTAGGGAGGGTCTGAAATATGACAGGAAGCTTCCCTCTCTCCATTATCTCTCCAGGACCCCAAGGGGTGCAATACTCAGGGGGGACCAGGCAAATGACTCAGATAGATTGGGTCCTAGGAACAAGGGAGGGACCCGGATCCCAGAACTGGGGCACAAGCTGGGAAAGGGGTGTTCAGAATGAGGGCAGGCATCAGAACTGGGCCACTTTCCATGTGGGACTTCGTATGTCTGAGCCTGGGAGCTGGCAGAACAGAGCAGGTCCGGGGCCTATTTGGGGTGGGTGAGGCTTTGGGGCACTGTCATGTGCTGTCCCCTCAGGACAGCACTTCCCTCTCCCCCCTAAGAAAGAGCCTCTGAGTAAACTGCATGTTTATTTTGAACACTCAAATTTACAAAAACAAAAAGGTAACAAAAACCATGACAGAGGCCACACACACTCACATACACACGTACACACACATTGCATCTCAGGTCACTTTATGTACAAAAGAGGAAGGGGGTGGGGTGGCCAGGGGGAGCGGTGGGGGCACTAATTTCACAGTGTTGGACGACTTGACATGCTCACTGCCTGCTCAGCCTGGGCCATGAGAGCCCCTTCCCCAACCAGCAGGGGCAGGGGGCAGGGAGAGAGGTGGGGTCTGGGGTGGCAGACAGTCCCTCCAGAGGGGGCCCCTTTGCCAGTTTGCTCAGGCCAGGGGTGCTGGGACACATAGGAGGGACCTGCTTCTTGAGTGAGGGGGTCACTGTGTCACATAAGGTCAGAAAGCTGAGTTCAGGGTTGCCAAGCTTCAGTGGGATGGCCTCAGAAACCCTCTGCAGGCCTCGGCTGCCTGTAAAGCGGGGGATTCCGTATCCTCTAAGAGAAGATTTCCTGCCTAGTCTGTGGTCCCATGCCATGCACAACTTGGAGGTGGGGGGGCACCGCACGCCACAAAGGTGGGAAAATCTGGCAGAGAACAGCTATGAAGCACCTGGCACAGGGCTTGGCCCAAAGCAGAAGCCTGAGGAGCAGCAGCTCCCCTGTCCCCTGCCTCGGACACTGGGAGACATCCCCTCCCTCAGCTCTCCTGGACACAGCAGCCCCTTAGAGGAGGCAGAGGTCAAGCGCGTGGGCAGGTGGGACACGGGATGCATTTCCGGGGAGGTGGAGACTCCTCCTATGACTGCGAAGGGCCGCTGGCCCTGGAGCCCACCCATCCTGCACCTAAGTTCCCTCTGTCACTTTGAATGCACCTGAAATATGTCAGGAGCAATGCACCAAATCCCACTCTGCAGGGTTAGGAAGCACTCATCCCCTGGGGCTGGGGTGGGGGTTGAGCACTTGACCAGCTCTGATGACACTTGCACTCCCTCTCTGGCTGCCTGATCATGCTGGGCAGGTGGCTTCACCTCTGGGAGGCCCAGCTTCATCCCCTGTTATCTTGGGGCCAAGAAAAGTTCTAATGCATAGCTGCACCGGGGTAAACCAGTAGTCCCGAGAAGCATCAGCTGCTATGAAGGGCCTAACAAGTGGGACCTCTGACTTCTGTAGAGACAGGCACAGCTCAGGGACACAACTGAGAGCCAAACCCAGCTCTCCCTTCCCTGTCTTCCCTCTATCTCCCTGGGAACAGCATAAGTTCCCAAAACCTGGCTCCAAACAGCAGGTGCTCGGTAAATGTTCCTAGAACAATCCACAGCTGAGGGAGGGGTGGGACTGTGGAAATGGGGAGTCAGGCCTTCCTCCAGGGATCCACATCCGGAGCCCACAGCCTGACATCCCCACTGGTTCCATTCCCTCCTGAGGGCTGACCAGGGTGACTAGGCATGGGAACGAGGCTCGGAGTCAGACATCTCATCACCACTGTGACAAAGCATAAAGGATTTGTGATGAGACTCAAGTCTGGGTGGGCTCAAGGGACCAAGCGGGTTGTGTCTCCCCCTCCTAAGACCCATCCTCCCAAGGCCTCCATGAAAGCTCCTTCCAAAACAACTGCCAAAGCTTTTCAAGCTCAGTGTCCCCAAAATCTAAGTGCTGAATTCTGCCATCACTGCAGCAATAGGGTATGTTATGGTGACAAGATTCTTGACCTAGCACTTGAGCTGATGTCATTGGCTGTTACCAGGGCAACCCAATCTCAGCAGGTCCTGGCTGAAGCCGCCATGGCTCTGACTTCTGGGGGAGTTGGATGGGAGGTGCTGAACCATCTATCTGTGCTCCCGAAATGGAAACAAAGGTCTGGGGGCCGGAGGCAGCACATCCTGGACATTCGTCCATGGCCCTGGGCCCCACAGCCTGCGTCACATCTCTGAGTGGCTGTGGGGAGTCAAGGAGGGGACAGAAGGGGTGCCAAGAGGCCCCGGTGCCCACTTCTCAGGTAGCTCGTCACTGCCCAGATACCTGGGAGGGACTGGCAAAGGGAGGGACACCTGCCTCCTCAACTGTCCCTTCTGCCACAGTGCCAGGGACCATGCCCTCCTCCTCTCGCCTCCTGGGGGTACCAAGGTATTCAGGTTTTTCACAAAAGGTGTTCCAGAGGATGGAGTGGAGGAAGAACACTGAAGCCCTGGGTTCTAATTCTGGCCCTTTGCTGTGTGACTCTGCAAGTCTTTCCCTCTCTGAGCTCTTCTCCATCAGTCATAAAGCAAGAGGTCAGAGTGGATGTTTTTTCTCAGCTCTTATATTCTACTCTTGTTGGGGAGCTGGTAAAGATTTCAGGATAGGAACCAGAAAGCCAAGCAGCCCTTTGAGACAAACCCAGATAGGCTGGAGTGCCAGGTGGGGAGAGAGAGCTGATTTTTTTAGACCATGTGTGAGCCTGCTTGGCCTGGAACCTTGCCCTTGCCCCTGACTTTGGAGCCAGCTGCGGACCTAACCCATGCCCAGCCTGACCTTCCTTGCTGCCCAGTCCCAGGACCCACCCCTGCCAGCCCCTGGGTCTCTAGGCTTGGCCCGCTCCACCTGTCCAGGATTGTGCGTCATCTCACGCTGGCTCTACAGAGCTCTGGGAAATGAGCAGCACAGAGCGGAAAGCCAGGCTCTGGTAGGGCAGGCACTCACAGGAGCCACACAGCTTGGTAATGTGGCTCTGCCAGCAGCGGTACTGCCTGAGATGCTATGTCTGCCTGCAGCTTCTCCTGGCTCAGGCTGTAGGGGTCCCGGACCTGTCCCGGGCACGAGGCAGGAGGGGTGACCATGGCAGTGGGCACAGGGATTACTCCAGCCCTTTGGCTTTGGGGATTCTTGGTCCCTAGCCCTCCAGGCTGGAGCTGGGAAGGGAATGTCCTGGAAACTGAGACAGGGCCGCACCAGGCAAGAAACCAAGATTCAAACCACTGCACACAAAGAAGAGGGGAAGCGGGTGAGGGTGGGGAGGCTTCAAGATGGGCAGCGGCAGGAAGGGGGAGGAGGTGAGTCTGATGCCTCAGGTCTCTGTCATCCCCTTCTACAGCCTGCTGTGGTCCTGGAAGGGACAGCCCCAGGCCTGCAGCATGGGGGCCACCCCACAACAACCCCGTGGGGGGTGCTGTGGGATCAGTGGAATCAGTGATGGACGGGCAAGGTGGGGTGGGGAGGAGACTGCTCCTGTGAAGTGCCAGGAGGGCCAGAGCCAGGACTCACCCCAGGCTCCACCCTGGACGTGAGGCACTTGTCCCCACCCAGGTGACCGAGGGGACACCCATCGCAGGACAGGGCATTCTGGAGGAGAGGGTACAGGTGAGGGGAAGAGGGAGGCATGGGCAGAAGTGGGCAGGAGGAAAGCACAGTACTTGGAGAGGCTGAGGGGGGAACAGCCCCCTCAAGGTCCCCGAAGTGGTAGGCATGGGAGGGGCCCTGGACGAGGTGGCCCTCATGCCTTGGCCCTCCCCTTGCAGACATCGAAGGGGGCCTTTTTGGCACCCCCGAAGGTCTCCACCAGCTTGTCTTCCCAGGGGAGGACGCTGCCCAGCAGTGGCGCAGTACAGTTGGCAATGCCCAGGACCTGGGCAGGTGTCAGCACATGGTCCCACAGGTTAAACTGGGCAATGTCACCAACAAAGGCCTGGGTGGCATCAAATCGGCCTCCCAGGGTATCCTAGGGTGAGAGAGCAGCAGAGAAAGGAGAGACATAGAGTGAGCCTCAGAGTCAGGCCCCTGTCCCTGCTGAAGCCCTGCCCCACCCTCCCACATTCTTTCTGCCAATGCTCTAGCATCACCCACAGGTTCTAGTCCCCCCACCCCCGCCCCCAGCAAGGTTCTAGCCCTGCCCTCAGGGTTCTAATCCCACCCCCAAGGTTCTGGCTCCACCCCTAAGGGTCAATTCCTCACCAAGGTTCCAAACTCACCCTCAACATTCTAGCCCTGCCCTCAGGTTCTAACTCTGCCCCCAAGGCTACAATCCCACCCCCAAAGTTAGCCCTTTTGCTGGGTCTCTCCTTTCCCTGTCCCTCACTTTGCCCATCTGCTGAAAAGTGAGGTCAGACTTAGGGTCACTCATGTTCTCTCTCCTCATGCCCTCCTGCTCATGCTCCCTTCTAGGGCAGGATAAGCTCTTGGGCCTCCAGCCAACCCCTGTCTGAGGCTTACCTGCTCCTGGCCCAGAATAAGGATGCCGTGAGGCTTGATGGGGTGCCAGGCTGCCAGATTCTCCCCGGAGCCCCGCAGCTCCCCATCCTGGTAGGCAGACCACAGGCCGTCCCTTGTGGTCCAGGCGATGCAGATGTGGTGCCAGCTGTTGTCCTTCAGGCTCATTGGCAGCTGGGCCACCTGGACAGAGGACCCCGAACTCCAGGTCAAAGGGGCCACAGGCCTGAGGCTGGAGCAGGGGATTGGGAGGTGGGGAGACTTGTGTCCAGGGGCCAACCTCAGTCCTGATCCTCCTTTCCCTCAGCCAGTGCTTCCCTGACCCCTGGCTTCTGTACCCTCACAGTCTCCCTAGGGCACTGGAACTGTCCAGTTTTCCCAGTGCACAAGGTTCTGAGGTTGGCAGCAGCACTACCCATAGCGCTCAGCACACACCTGGGGCTCAGAAGCGCTGGCACCGACAGCATAGGGCTCAGACAGAGCCCAGACACTGGTCTCTGACCTTGGTTCGGCCATCAACATCCTGTGTAACCATGGGGGGCCCTGTTCTTCCCTACTTGGGCCTCAGTTTTCCCATCAGTACAGTGCAGGGGTCAGACAAGGGCAGCCACGTATGCAGCCATCACCCCTTCATCCACCCAAGGCAGGCACGACCAATCAACCCCAAGCCTGACTCAGCCCAGGCTCTCTCTTTTTTTTTTTGATACTGGGGATCGAACTCGGGTCCTTGCACTTGTGCAGCAGGTGATGAAACCACTGAGCTAAATCCCCGGCCCAGCCCAGATTCTCTTATCACAGTGCTCTGGAAGCCTGTGCTAATGGATTGGAGTTGCCTTTGAGATGAAAGGCACTTGCTGGCTGTGTATCTGGTGGTCCCAAAGGGCTCCTTTGTCACGTATGTTCTCTGAGATCACAATTTAACACAGCACTCTCGGAGACTTCCTTGGTGTAGGGCCTGTTCAGGACACAGGGTCTGGGTCTGGTCTTGGCCTTTAACTGAGCTATGCCTGGCCAGGAAGGAGGACTTCAGGGACCACACTGGCAAATGAAACAGCACAGGACCACCAGTGAGGCCCAGTAGGTGTGAAGGCCAAGAGAAAGGGGACATGGCACAGAACCATCCGGAAGAACTCTGGAATCTGGCCACTCCATTGCTAGCCCAACAAGATTAGTGGGCAGCCTATGCCTGCATCCTGTCCAGAGTGGTGAAAACCTTCTCATCAAGGGCTTTCCCTTGACCAGGCCAAGGACAAAGGACAGCAGCCAGGGGGTGGTGACCAGAGCAAGGTCCAGGCTCCAGATGGAGTTCAGCTACCCCAGTCTTAGAGCTTATGGGGTCACAATAGAAATTCGCTGCTCCCTGGCCCATCTCTGCTCTCCTCCAGGACACACATGAAAGGTGTCTATTGGCTTGTGTGGCAGTTGGCTGGTCTCAGATGGTGACCATGCTGTCTGCAGGGGTCTCAAACCATCACCATGCCTGTCAGGCCAAAGCACGTACGGGAGGAACTTTGGGAGAGAAGGTGATTGGCCAGGGAAGGGCCGGGGGTGTGGGAGGCCTGGGTGTGAGGAAGGTTGGAGGGGTTCAGAGGTCGTTTCTGGAGCCCAAGACCCTGAATCACACCCTCATCCTTCACCTGCTGTCTGTCCAGGGAGCACACAGCCTCTCCCGGAACCTCTCTTCTCCATCGGCAAAATGGGAGCAATGCAGGCACCTGCCACTCGCTGTTGGAAAGGCCAAGCGTGGTGAGGGGATCAAGTGCTTCTCAGCACCCTGCCTCACATAGTCAAATAGCTCACACTTCAGGAAGCTTGCTAACTGCTAGGCTCTGCTCAGAATCCTCTACTTGCATTTAAGGCTTCTATTTCTTATCGTAGCCCTAAAAGGTAAAGACTATTATCATTCCTGTTTTACAGCTAAGGCACTTCCCTCCCTTCCTTAGTCTCTGTCCAGGAGCATGAGCAGGGCACCGGGCACCTGCACCTGCAACCCTGCCCTACACCCGGGTCCCTGCAAAGTCCCTTCACCTCTTTGCACCTCACTGGCCCATCACCTCTGTACAATGGTGACAACACCACCAGCCTCCATTGGGGACACAAGCCTCTCTTCAGCCTGCCCCATATCTGGCTTGCCAGAACCCAGCCTGCCACACAGCAGGCCCTTCATGTTAGCCACAGCCACAGCTGCTGAGTGGCAGAATGAAAGCACCAGCCCTTGTGTGATGGGTCCCGGAAGTGTGACCCCAGCCCCACCCTCGGCCCTGCCCACCTTGTCGTTGATCAGCAGCTCCATGGGCTCGTGGCCTGCCTCCAGCAGCACAATCTCGTTGGCCTGCCCGGGCACTGAGTAGGAGAAGGGGGTGCCCTGCCCCGTGCCCCCTGACCTGGACCGCAGCCACATGCAGGTGGTGAAGGCGTAGAGCTCGGGCAGCGCCTTCCGGACACGGGCATACATGTAGTTGTTTCGGATGGGGATGCCAATCTTGAAGGCGTCTGGGGGGTTGTAAGCCGAGGACCCTGGGGGTGGGCATGGTGGGGTCAGAGGACACTGCCCTGGGCAGAAGGAGGGCTAATGGTTCCTGGCCACCTGATGTGTGTCAGGTACCTTCATCCCCTTTTCTACTCTGCTCAGAGACATGGCTAAAGCCCAAGGGCTCTGGATCTGCATGTCCCAAGTTCGAACCCTACCTTCACCACTTCCTGGCCATGTGACTTCCAAAAACTTTAAGCTTAACCTCTCTAGCTTCAGTTTCATTGCTAAAATGGGGTCATATTTCCTCCCTGCCAGGGTTGTGTGAGGATTGTTTGGGCCAGAATATGTGAAGGGCCTGGCCCATATTAATGCTCAGCAAAAGTTAGCTATGATGATGATGATGATGATTATTATTTAGAGTTCTTTGCCACTTAGGCATTCTATACTGCTTTTTTGTTTGTTTGTTTGGTACCGGGGATTGAACTCAGGTCCTTGCACTTGCGCAGCAGGCTGCGAAACCACTGAGCTAAATCCCCGGTCCTATACTGCTTTTTGATTGGCAGACATTGTTCTAAGCATTTTCACATATATTATTTCACACTTCATAGCACCCTCCCACTATTATCACCCTCATTTACACTTGAGAACATCATGACACAGAGAAGCTAAGTTATTTTTTCAAGGCCACACAGCTAGTGAATGGTAGAGCTGGGATTTGAACAAAACAATCTGCATGTGTGGAACCTGGACCCAGGGTTCCTGATGTCCACACCTGTACACTGTCCATTATGCTCCTCTGTCCCCCTGGCAATGCCAAGCTTAGGTGTTAAACAAATAACAAAATCCCCATTTGCTGAAGGTGCTGTTTGTGGGTGGTTAAATTCATGACCGTGGGTCTATTCCTGGTTTGAGGTCTAGATTCTTGACTTACTGCTTGTGTGACCTTGGGAAAATCAATTGACCTCTCTGAACCTCAGTTTCCTCATCTGTGAAAACCCCTGTGCCATTTGTGAAGGTGAAATCAGCAGGTGTGTGCAGCACTTAGCTCACTCTGAGGACACGTGGTGGTGTCAGAAAATGAGAATTGTTAACGATCATTTTGGGACAATAATATTCTCCCCCTCGTGTGTCCTGCAGCCTCCTCCCCACTGTCCCATCCGCCTTGGCCTCTGGAGAGCACCAACGTGTTGTCAAGTGGCTCTGTCCCCCCAGGATACCACAGGGACCAAGGCCTCATCGACGCTGCCCTCTCTGCAGGACCCACCGTGTTCCAGCTCGGCCACTCGGCCCTGCAGGGCATCCAGCTCCTTCTCCACCTCCTGGTGCTGCTGGTGGCTGCTGTGGCTGAGGGCCGTGCGCTCCTTCTCCAGCGCCAGCACCTTGGCCAGCAGCTGCCCCTCCAGCTCGTCCATCTTGGAGTGCAGGGCGGTGGGTATGGCGGGTGCTGGTGCAGCGGCTGCTGAGAGGTTCACACGGGCTGGGAGCTCCTGCTGCTCACAGGGCAGAGAAGGGGGAATGTGTGAGGTCATGGGTGGGTGAGGAAAGGCACGGGGCTCTGAGATGCCACCACCCTTGGCAGTGACCCCAGTCAGCCTCAGAGTCCCCATATGCAAAATGGGGACAGAAATAAAACTGCAGGCAACCAAGCCTGGCACTAGCAAGAGAATGTGGGAAGTGAAGGAACAGAAGCAAGACAGTCGCCCCTTTACTGGCCCATCAGGACACAGCCTTCCAGCAAGAAGCATGTGGGCAGCAGCTCTCATCAGAGCCACCGGGGACCCTTCCAAGCCTCCACTGCCACGCTGCCACCCCACTCCTCTACCACAGCCTGGACATCCTTGAGGACAGGGCCAGCTCTGTCTGTCTCTGTGACCTCCAGCCCAGGAAAAGAGCTGCTGTATGTTTGTGATCTCCAGGGAAACTTTTGTGGCTGTGCTTGGTCTTGCCATCCCAGACAGACCCAGAGGCACAAGCCAGGGTCTTCCAGAATAGGACTCCGATGTCATGGCCTTTCCAGGGTGACATGTGGTTAAGATCCCAGACTCCAGACAGACAGCTCAGGGCTCAAGTCCAGCTTGGGCACCAATCTGCTGTAGGACCCTAGGAATAATCCCTTGAGCTCTCTGAACTTATTTCCTCATGAGATAATTGCACCTATTTGGAAGGGCTATGGGGAGGATTAAGTGACAAATGGCAAATATTGCAACTACTTTGTAGGGTAGAGTGGTCCAGGTTGCACTCTGACACCCCATCCAGGCCAGGATGAGGGCAGAGTGTCCCTCCTTGTCCTGTCTTAAGATCCCAGAGGTCAGGAGACCTGAGGCGGGAGCTGGGGGCCCCTCCTTCCCCCTCTCCTGGGGCACAGGAAGGCAGAAGAAGCTACAAGTTAGACCTTTGGAGGGAGCAATCTCTGGTGGATATGTCACAGGAACATCAGTGGAAGATTAATAATTTACTGAGCTTCTGGGAGTCAAATTATAAGCATTTACCGTCCGCCTGACTTCCTCCGTGCTCTGAAGTCCCCACTGATAAGCCACTTGCACTCTCCCCTGGGGCCTGGGCAGTTCCCGTCCAGCCTGGCCCCGGGAGCCTGGCCCCAGACCCACCCCCCAGCCAGGAGCTGGCTGAATCGTCCCAGTTCATTCAGGGAGCAAGTTTGCCTCCACCACTACTCTGTGCCGGGCGCTGTCCCCGGTGCTGATGATACAGCGGAAGGGAAAACCGGAAGCCAAGAACCCAGCAATTCCCAAACACTGAGCTGTGAGGGGCTGGCCCGCAGCTTGGGCCAAGTATAGAAGACCTTCTTAGCCTCAAATGAGCCAGCTCTGGCCTGGAAGATCCTTTACTGGGTGACATGGAGCACATATCTTATCCTTTCTTAGCCTGTTCTCTAACCAGGGGACAAGGGAAGTGCTGTTGGGGGTGTGGAGCTGCCATCTGTGACCACTGATGGGACCTCATGCTGAGGGGTTAGAGGGGGTGACACTCAGCTCTACCACTGCATCCCGAGAACATATGGTTCCACTGTTCCTCATCCACAAAGTGGGGCCCCAGAACTCCCAGGATGCAGGTCCTGGGATGACTGACAGTGTTTGGGGAAGGATGAGGTTGCCTCAAATGGCCAGGGCTCGGTAGCACCTCAGACTCAGTCCTCCCTTCCCATCTCTCCATCTGGTGGTAATGCAGTGGGACTGAGGGTCAGCCTTCTCTCTCTGCCCTGGGAAACGGGTCGTCAGGATGAAGTTACTGAGGCTGGCTCTAGGAAGGGACTCCATGAAGCACTGGGGAGGGAGAGTCGGGCCACCTTTGTCCCCCACCATGTTATGATAAAGGTCTCAGCTGCCCACCCTTCCAGATGCCTGCCTGTCCCCTCCCCCCAGGCTGGGGTGAAGCACAGGGATGGATGGATGAGCCACGAAGTGCATCCAGACCCCCTTCTTACACTGAGCTTTGCCATCCTGAGGGCTCATTCTCACTCCAAGTTGCCTGCAAATCCTGGCTCTGGTGCAGATTAACCCCAAAGCCTCAGTTTCCCCTCCTATAAAATGAAACATGAAGGCCTCTCTTTGTCCATCCCCAGAACAGATGGAAGGAAGGAAGGAATAGAGACGCATCATGCAAACCATGAAGCCTGCCCGTGGGAGCTAATGGGGTCAGGCTCCACCTGACCATGGATGGCGGTGTGTGTGTGTGTGTGTGTGTGTGTGTGTGTGTGTGTGTGTGTGCCAGTGCCCAATTGCACTGGAGCTCCTCGGACTTCCAGGAAGCCTTGGACTGCCTCCTGCCTGGCTGCCAGCACTGATCTGCCTCAGTGCTCACTCTCCTCCGTGTCATCCTGAATGGCTCCATGGGCCAGGCCCACCCTTGGCACTTAAGAATCCTCATGACCTCTCATGCATGCTGATACTCTGAGTACACAGCCAGGGAAACGGAGGCACAAGTCCCTGTGAACTGTCTGACACCCCTGGAGCACGTCTCCTCTCTGGCTAAGGGAAGGAAGGGACAGGATGGGACAGGACGCGGAGGCTATTTACACCACACTGCTTCCTTTGAGGAGAACACAGAACATGCGCCAGCTGGGGAGGTGCACAAGCTGTCCTCCCATCACAGCACCCTCCCCTCACCGCGTGGCCAGGGAGGGAGGGGGGGGGTGGGCTCCGGATCACGCGCGGCTCCCCCCGCCCCTGTCTGAATCACAGAAGCACAATTCCCCCACCCACCCCCTGGCCATCTGCTGCGGGTGTGGGCTGTGGTGCGTGGGCTCCTGGCCTGAGATGGTGGTGTGGGGGGGAGCTTGGCTCCCACTGGGTTCTCTCCCCAGCTTGGCTGCTAATGTGCTGGGCTCCTTCGTACTCAGGGCCCAAGGGGCTCACAGGGTCACTGTCTCTGATGAGTGCTCACATCTGCCAGGCTCTGTTCCCCAGGAAGCTAGGCAAACACTTCTCAGCTGTGCTCACAGGCTGGGGAGGAAGGAGGTCTGCTATACAGACAAGTGAACCGAGGCTCAGAGCTGGAGGCTGCCTGCTAAGGTCACATAGCTGCGGGGCCACAGAGAGGACTTCAGCCTCTGCCCTCTCCTCAGTCCTCCCCCGACCGACTGGGTCTCAGTTTGCTGATCTGCCACATGGGCACGGGCTGGGCACCCTGTCTGCCTTCAGGCTGGACTTCAGGATCAGGGTCTCCCTGTGCACAGCCCATCCTGCCTGACAGCACAGGACCTGGCCTCAGGGACAGCAGCAAGGCTCCAACCCTGTGAGGTCACCCCATGCCCCGTGAGTCCTGCTTAGCTCCCAGGCTTCACCAGCTGAGTGACTGGGTGCCTTAGTTACCCCATTTGCAAACAGGGCACAGTGGTAACATTCATATCCCATAGCATTCAGCAAGGACACAATGACTGAAGATGTGTTGCTCCTAGAGTTGATGCATGAAAAGTTACAGGAGGGTCAGCCATCCCACTGAGGATGAAGCCACTTAAATACCTCTTGGAGTGGCCCTCTGTTCTCCATCTCCACCCCCCGAATCTTCCTGTTCAGTTGTTATGTGGAGAGGAAGGTGCCTGGTGGGCAGTTAGCTACTGTGGACATGCGCGTGGACAGCATACAATGCTACACGACTTCAGCGTACAGGTGGTGTCCCTAGGGCTGTGTCTCCGCTCTGGCTTGGGTGCTTCGCCACATAGCACCAGAGGCTGCCACCTAAATCTTCCTGTGGCTACACTACTCTCCTGCTTAAACTCGTCCACAGCCCCCCAGCCCAACACAGAGCCCCTGTCCCTCTGGCCTCATGACAGGACCACATCTTACCTACAGGTGACAGGTCACTCCCACCACACACACCCATGTTCCTCTGACCCTCAGGCCTCTGCACATGCTGTTCCTTCTGCCCGGAACACTCTTCCTGCCCCCACTGTCCTGTGCCTGCTGCCTGCTCCCTGTCCAGGTGCCCAGGAGAGGAGGGGTGGCCCCGAGCTCCTCTGTAGGGCTGTAGAACGCCCACGAGCAACCACCACATGGCTCATTTACTGGCTCATTCATTCACCGCCAGCCAGCGTGGGGCATGGCAACGCTGAGTCCTGGTCACCAACAACTCTCACCTACTAGATCTCAGCCCCGGGCAAGTTGCTTGAGCACTGTCCCTCAGCCGCCTCCTCTGGATGAAGGTAACAGTACACTGGGATATAAGTGATGAGAGAGCCAGAGACTCTACGTCAAGTTTGGTACACACGTCTGATAAATGTTGGGACAATTCTTACTATCCCGTGGTACTACTGAGAGGCAGGCGAGCAGTTCCAGGAGCTACAGTGCTTGATCAAAACAATAGCTGAGCCACTTTGGCAGGCATCTGACCCTCTTGGAGCCTGGAAAAGGGAGTAGTGACAATGGGATGGTGCTCATGGCATCAGTGTTGAGGCCCTTACACACGCAGGCCCATCTGAGCAGGGCCCAGAGGTGAGGAGGTCCCATGCCTGCCACAGCATGGGTGTGCAGGGCTGTGCCCAGAATGGTAAGAGGAGGTGCCAGGGAGCCCCATCCTGTGCCCCACCTTCCTCCCCAGGAGCAACCCATGCAGGGAAGAGGGAAGTGAAGGGCAGAGCTGGCCCATCCTGGTCCCCATGCCAATCTGGAGCTGTAATGAGAAGACAAATGGGTGAGGGGGATGGGAAGCCTCCATCTGGAGACCAGCAGGGCTTCGGGCCATCCCAAGAACCGTCATGGGCCTCGAGGTCCCAGGGGGCGAATGCTCTCGCCTCTCCAGAAGGCCAGAGAACCTCTGCCACCCACACACCCTCTGGTCCCTGGCAAAAAATCCTCAACAAAGACAGGACCCTCACCCCTAGCCCACTTCAACCAGAAATCCTGGTGGGCATCTTGGCTCAACCTCTGCCATGCTGTGTGGCCTTGGAAACATCCCTTGACCTCTCTGAGCCTCAGTTTCCCCTGGAGTAAGACAAGGGCTGTGGGGATACTGAAATGCTTCCACTTTGGGTTGG